TCACTGCTGGATTCTGCGGTCTTTTTCACTTGTCTCTGGGGTCTCGCGGTTCTACTGTTCTCTTTTTCTTGTCTCTGTGTTTTGTTACAGCATTTCGCGAAGTGGTTGTATTTTCCGCATTTTAAACACTGCTTCCCGTATGCTGGACAGTCTTTACCTGGTTATTGTGTTCCTGCGTTGCCACAGTAGTAACACGGTTTTTCGGTGTGGTTATATCCTCAGGGTTTAGCTTGTTGTTGTCTTCTTGCTTGCTGGTTATTTGGTCTTTGCTGTGATCTTCTATTTTGTTGTCGTGGTTTGGTTGGTGGTTTGCCACGATTTAGACTCGCCAACTTGTGTTCGGTTTTCATGTCTTTCACTTGTTGGCTGATGTCTTCGCGTTGGCTTGCTTCGTCTATGAATCGATCCGGATTCCATCTCTTTCTAATGAATTCTTTTATGAGGTCTTTGTTCGACACTGTTTGGATCAGATGTTCTAGGATACGCTCGTCGAGTTGGTCTCCGAATTCGCAATCCTTCGCTTTCTCTCTTATCCTTGCSGCGTAATTGACAATTGTCTCGTTGGATTCCATTCTCTCCTTGCTAAATGTGTATCTCGCATGGTGTTTGTTCTTCCTAGGTAGAAAATGGTTGTTTVATTTCCTCTTGAGTTTCTCGTAGTCGTCCTCGATTTCTTCTCCTATCGGTTCTGGTAGGTTTCGAGCAATTTTCTTGATTCCTGGTCCGCCGTAAATTTTCAAAGCGCTGACCTTGTCTTTGACCTTTTCAATTTCGAAGTAGGATATTTCTTCCTCGAAATCCTCTAACCATTCTTCCCAAGCTCTACCCGTTTCTAATCTATTCTCTGGGTTTTTGAACTTTTCAATACTTAGTGCTTTTGTTGTTGTAAATACTTTGATCTCTGTTTTTTCTGCTGCTGGTGGTTCTGTCGGGTCTTCGTCGTTGTCGGACATGTTTCTCTGCACGTGCTCGAATGACTCTTCTAATTTTTCTTCTTTCGCTGCTGTTTCTTCTTTATTGGTCGGATCCTAGTTTATCTTGAGTTGATTTCCTTTCTCTTGAGTTGATTTCCTTTCCCTTTTTTTTTGGTTTCTGCTTCTTTCCGGCGTTTTTAGATCCCGACTCGTCGCCATATGTAGTGACTCGACGTCATATCTAGATCAACCATTTATTATTCACAACTTAGCTAATTATCATACTTGATTATTTGCTATGGATACTACATCACCCGTTCTCGACTTTTTCCCGCCAAGACTTTGGACCCCCATTTCTCACCTTCCAAATGCCCTGGGAACGTCGGGGTTGTGCAGTCCCGAGTCGCCAGGACTCGGGCTTTCAGAATTTACACCTTTCGACCGGAAAGGCGGAGTTCACCCGTGCACGACTTTTTCCCGCCAAGACTTTGGCCCCCTCATTTCTCACCTTCCAAATGCACTGGGGACGTCTGGGTTGTGCATCCCCGAGTCGCCTGGACTCGGGCTTTCAGAATTTACACCTTTCGACCGGAAAGGCGGTGTCTACACGTGCACGACGTTTTCCCGCCAAGACTTTGGACCCCCATTTCTCACCTTCCAGATGCCCTGGGGACGTCGGGCTTGTGCAGCCCCGAGTCGCCTGGACTCGGGCTTTCAGAATTTACACCTTTCGACCGGAAAAGCCGAGTTCACCTGTGCACGACTTTTTCCAGCCAAGACTTTGAACCCCCATTTCTCACCTTCCAAATGCCCTGTGGACGTCGGGCTTGTGCAGGCCCGAGTCGCCTGGACTCGGGCTTTCAGAATTAACACCTTTCGACCGGAAAGGCGGAGTTCACCAGTGCACGACTTTTTCCCGCCAAGACTTTGGACCCCCATTTCTCACCTTCCAAATGCCCTGGGGACGTCGGGGTTGTGCCACGGCGGGTCAGCTGTCTCGGGTTTCGCGACATCCGGTTGAAGCCAAAATATGTCAACTCACTCGCGTGAATTGGGTGAAGTACTAGGAACTAGCTTTGGTTGGTTTATAAAAGGCTCGCTATGCAGAATGGGATAGAGCGCGAATTTAGAACAATGAAAGAATCAAAAAGTCTGATAAATAAGCTTTATTTTGATACGAAAGTTACCCATGTTGCTTAAAATTGGAATATTTTGAGTGGGTCTACTCTTCCTCACATATTTGTGCCGTCGTAGAAGCATAGAAAAACGTATTTTTTCGCTTGTGCAGTTTTCTTTGAATTAATTAGAAATGGCGCGAGAAAGCTGATGCTGGTTTCTTGAATTATCAGGTAAGAATCGTATGTTTTTTGTTTCTTATAAAACGAAGTAGGAGTCCCGTGTTTTGTCAAAATTCTTATGGAACCTTTTGACGTCAACAGCCTTGGTCCTGTCCTTTTGTGACTGTGAATCATGTCTAGCAAGCGCTTTAATGTAGGTGCTTATATGAAAGCTAGACGGGGCATTCTCAAAGATTTAGCCAAGGAGAAAGCGAACACTTCAGCAGCAGTAAAGACA